GAATTTAAAATTAAATAAAATGGTTTAATTAATTGCACTGTTGTTACCCCCTCCCCCTTCCCGTCATCGACTCTTGGTTAGAGATCCCTACTGCCCATGCGCGTGCTTCAATCGGTGCTCTTCTACTAATAAGCAACTAAGTTAAACCAGCCATGCCTAACGTGTTGACCAAGTTGGCACCAAAAGTAAATATGATTGAATCGATGCCCGAGGAGTTCAAAAACAAGGATTACTCCAACGCCCGACACATCTCAGGCCTGACCCACGAGATGCTCATGTCGTTTGAGATCCGGGGTATTGTCGAGGAGAAGATTGTCCGCATTCCTCATCACACAAACACTTTGGCCGACACTAACCTAATGCTGAGCGAAGCGTTTGGCAAACCAGTGGTCGACAGCGTAGACATCACCGGCTTTCAGGAGATGTGCTTTAAGACTAAAAACGCGCTGTATTTTTACACCATTAACTATTGGGCCATATTTGCTTTTATGCTCGACGATTACCTGGATCAAGTTATGGTGAGCGATGGCGAGGGCAGACATGTTATATGGTATGTGTAATGAAATGGGAAGGGTTATTAAAATTATAGTAAATTCTGCATGTATTATGGTTTTAAGCCATGTTTAATTGTATAGCGAGTGGCAGAAAAAGTATTTGTTGGGCGAAAGTGACGGCACAACTGGTTTTGACAAAATGCTCGTAAAGGCTATGAAACTAACTAAAGCTATGTTAACGTCTGACCAGTTTGTACGACACGTGATGTATGGCGTCGGTTGGATCGGCACATACCTGACCGCCAATCAGACAAAGTTTAATAACAAACTTATGACTTATGAAGAGTATTGGTATCAGAGGTAGGTTTGAGAGAGAGTTACAAAAATGCTTAACTAGTAAATTAATCACCACAATCAATATAGAGAGCGGGACTGTGCGGCTGATTTAATATATATATTTATGGAGCAATGCGATAATTTAGACGTGGTCAAATACAGCCTAATGGATAACCCTGTTTATATCGCATTTTATAAATCGGCGGCCAAACATTCAATAATTGTTAACGACATCTACTCAGTCAAGTCGGAAGTGTTGAAAGATCAGGGTAAATACAGTTATCTATACCTGTTAATGGCACACCAGGGTTGGAACTGTCAACAGGCTGTCGACCAGATGGTGGCCGAAGTGCACTATCAATGGTATGCGTGTATTAACTACGGCTCACAACTCGTAGAGTACGGCATACCTGAGCTGACAGAGTATGTGCACGAAGTGATGCATGAGGTTCGGGGCAATCTATGGTGGTCGTCGATATGTACTAGGTACACTATTGGACCTCAATATGATCATTATATAAATGTAAACTAATCTCGTGATTGTGAGTTGTTTATTTGTTTAACAACAATTTAGTTGTTTATTATAATGTATTTTTACATAGCTTAATTTAAATATTGACTTTTCACAAATTTAAATAAATTACAATTGTTTGTATTTTTATAATTTATTATTTTTATATAGTATATTCTTATAATAATTATGATTATATAATTAGAATTATTATAACAAAATACAGAAACTAATGTTCACAGTTAAATTAGAATATGTATAAATTATATGCTATGATTTAACTATTTGTTTTATGTCAAATGTGATTAATAAATAAATTTTCTTACATTTGCAAATGTGTGGAAAACTTATTGGAACTTATTGTAAAATTCAATTACTCTTTTAATTACTCAATTATTGATACTTTAACTACACAAACAACAAATCAACCATGCCACCAAAAGTTACCTTTATTGAATCGATGGCCGAGCAGTTAAAAAAAACTACTGGTCTGACGCCCGACACATATCGAGTTTGACCCACGAGATGCTCATATCATTTGAGATCCCGGGTCTCGTCGGGGAGTAGATTGTGGATTGGAGAGACTAAAATTTTAACTAAATTAATGTTGGTGATTTCATTATTTTATACTGTATTTACTTTATGCAGTATTTATATTGTATTAATTAATTAATGACACTTATAAATTGCCTTATTTATTGCAATAACATGTGTATTTTGTCAACAAAATATTTAAATTAATATTTAAAAAATACTATTAATATTTAAACTATTATAAACAAAATAGTATTTTGTTTTTTAATGTAAAATACAAAGTCCTCTCGTTCTACAATTCTACGTTAATTAAATTTATATTTATAGATATTTGTTTGTCACAAAAAATGCAATGTTTTATAAAAACATATACTCAACCACAACTATAAAAATTTACATTGTGTTTAATATATAATTGAATTTTAATTAATATTCTGTATGATACAGTAGTCTGTAGTCTGTATTCTGTGTAACATACAGTTTCAGTTTATAATAAAAAGGTTAATTAACAACATATTTCTTTTACAAAGTGGCACAAATACTGCATAGCTTGTAATCTAGTGTTTACAATACTGGGCCTATGGGCCACTTTAGGGTCCTAATCTGTATGCTTTTAGTTTTCATTACAGAGCATACATATGTACGCCATATAATAAACCTTGATAAATTAAACATACTTGGTTCACCAACTTGGTCAATTAGCTTGCTTAATGAATCATAGCTAGATGGATGTTAATTATGATTTTTACCCGTAGATAGTGTACGGGGGAAGCGCTTAACTACTAATGAGCGTTCACTGTATTCGGGGGATACAGTCTATGCCTATTATGAATAGCCATTTTCAACACCGCAGACAAACATTAGGGGGAAAATTGCGGCAAAAAATACTAGTGATTTGTTTCTCCCCACCACTAGAAGCTCTCTCTCTCTCTCTCTCTCTCTCTCTC